ATTGACCATGCTTCTGAGTGAACACTGTTTGAGAACAGTGATATTATCTGATTTATGTAGTAAAAGAATAATTCTGCCTACTATGTTGAAAATATGCAGTAGGAAGGCAGGAAGAGAAACTGGATGTTGAGATGATGCTAGTTTATACCATGGCTATGGTGGTCGAGCTCATGAGAAATGTTTGAATATTAAGTCTGTTTTAAAAGTGGAATCAAAAGAATCTCCTGAACTGATGCACTATGTAAGAAAAAAAAAAAAAAGAGCGAGAACCATTCTGTCTTTGTTGCCTGTGCCTGCTAATTTCTTATAGTACTTTATCCTGGTACTTTTGGAACATTTTAGCAGAGGTTAGCTGAAAAATACAATCAATATACCTGGTTCAGTCATACTTTTGCCAAAGATTCCTAGAGGTTGCTTGTCTAAATTCTACCTGAATATTTATATCAATAAGGAACTCACCACAATCTAAAGCATTTTGTTTGGATGTTTGAAATATTTATGAAAACGAGCAAGGAAACAAATCCTGCTTAGAATCCTCTGAAATGAACAGTAACATACATAGTACTATCCTATTTTCTATTCTTTGTGTCTGCTGCAGGATGCGATTTTCAAGGAAGTTATTAATTTCATCTATGTCATCAATTTTATTGGCATATAGTTATTTATAACATTTTTACACCATCTTTGTAATATCTATGCCTTTTTGCCTCTAATATCAGTAATCCATGTTTTCCTGCCTTTTTAGTAAGTTTTATAAACAACTTATCAGTTTATTAATCTTCTCAAGGAGCTAACTCTTGACTTTGTTCTGTTTTGTTTGTTTCACCAATTTTCTCTCTTTATTATTTCTTCTTTTTCTATGGGATTAATTTGCTTATTGCTTACTAGCTTCTTGAAATGAAAGTTTAGATCAATTTTAGAATTTTCTTCTTTAGTGGTTCAGTGCTTGTAGCTCAGTGGCTAAGGTGCCAGCCACATACACCGGAGCTGGTGGCCTCAAATCCAGCCCCGGCCTGCCAAACAACAATGAAAACTACAACAACAAAATAGCTGGGTGTTGTGGCAGGCTCCTGTACTCCCAACTACTTGGGAGGCTGAGGCAAGAGAATCATTTAAGCCCAAGAGTTTGAGTTTGCTGTGACCTGTGGTGCCATAGCACTCTACCCAGGGCGACAGCTTGAGACTGTCTCAAGAAAAAAAAAAAAAACTCTTCTTTACTAATGTATATATTAAACTTATAACTTTCTCTCAAATCACTGCTTTAGTTGTAGGGAATTGATAGGTTATGTTTTCATTGTCCTTTATTTCAAAACATTTTGAAATTCTGTGATTGAGTTATGAGTTATTTAGAAATCACTCTTTTACTTTCCATCTGCTTGTTTCCTTATATTTAAAATATATTTATTATAAACACAGAGTTGATTCTTTTTGTTTTCCGAGTCAGATGATCTCTCTTTTAACTGGAGCATTTATCCATAAATTTCATGTGATCACTGATACTATTGGATTTAAGTCTTCCAATGAGCCTATTTTCTTCCATATTTATTCTTTATCTTTTGGTACAACATTTTGTCTTTCTTTCCCTGACTAGTCAAATTGTTATCATTGTTATTATTTATTATTGAACTTATACTTCCAAAACACTATGAACACCAGATATGGTTCTTCTTTCACATGGAAATTTTTTTACCATGAAAAACATACAGAAACTAACATTTACCCAGACTTAGTATGTGACAGACACTGTGTTAAGCATGTGTTTACATACATCATCTGATTTATTAAGCTAGAGCTTTTCCAGAAGGAAAGAGCTATTCATTATTTATTATGTGCAAGTGAGACAATTAAGGCTCAGAAAAGTTAGATAAATTACTTCTGTAATTAGTGGCACAGCTAGGACTCAAATATCCATTCATTTAATTAGTATTTACCTAATAGACTTTGCTTTCTACACTGCCTATAACCAGTAACTTTATTTTAAAAAAATGAATATTTTTTCTAGCATGATTTCCCCCTAGTTTTCTTCACTAGTTTTTTTTCTATGGGTGTGCCCCAGCTTATTGTGTCCCTTCTTATACAAAGGTTTTGCTTTCTTATTACATGATTATTTCTCGGTTCTTCATTTCCTTATTTTCACTAGTTAAAGGGGCCAAAACCAAGAGGTTAAATTCACTAACATAGCATGAGAGAAATATGTGAGTTCGTAACACCTGTATCACAGTTCCTTTATGATCATTCAAGTTGGGTTAAGGAGATGAGATCAAAAAGTTCATCTAGCCCCGCCCTCCCTTTGAATGCCCTTAAGCAAGTCTGCCTTATGTTTCCCTGTTTAGGATTCTGAGATGTGCAAAGACTACCGGGTACTGCCCAGGATAGGTTATCTTTGCCCCCCAAATTCACAGCCTGTCTGTGGTGATGATGGCCAGACATACAAAAATCCCTGCATGCTCTGTCATAAAAACCTGTAAGTATACAAATTACCCCATCGTATCTTCCGGTATAGAAGTTATTGACCATAATGCTACCCCATAGTAGTGTATTGATATCAATTTGCGATGTGTGGCAAATAATTCATGAATCATAGAAGTTAAAAGTTCAAAATTTGTGAATTATCTTTCTTGTATAAAATAGAAAAGATTTAAAGTTTACCTTTTAGTAAAATTTTATATCTACATTTTTATATGCTTTACTGAGTAAAAGAGAAGGGGAAAATGTTCTAGGGTTGCAATAATTACAGAACATCTATATAAAGTTGTAAACACTCATGGTGTGGTGGCGTGAACATCACCCATACTGGGTGTTCAAGAGAAAAACAATGGAGAACCACTGCCATATACAGTCAGCTCAGCTGATAATATCTGTAAGGTCCTGTAACTACAAAACAGTCACTGATTTCCCATCTTCTCTAAGCCTTCCTCTTGAAGGAAATGGTATTCGATAAGAGGAAAGTGGCACCACACAAAAGAAAGAGCCCCAGAATCAACACCAAGCCTGATTTCCACTTTTAGATTTATTACTACCTGTGTGTCTGTGGGTGCATTAATCTCATCCTTCTGTATCTCATTTTCTTCACTGGAGAAATGGAAACAGTTCTCTAAACAGCTAACTTCTCAGAACTGTTAGATATAAAAATATTTTTATTCTAGGGTAAATATAAAAGATTTATTTTAGGGTGATGCCTGTGGATCAAAGGAGTAGGGCACTGGCCCCATATACTGGAGGTGGGAGGTTCAAACCCAACCCCTGCCAAAAAAAAAAAAAACTGGAAAAAAAAAGATTCATTTTAATACTTTTATTATTGGGTTTAGCTTTGTTGCTGCTTTTGTGCTATCTGCTAGATCAGTGCTATCTAATCTGGGTAATATTTGCTCCTTCTATACATATTCTCAACCTCTTCCAGCTTCCCTTTAACCAATGGTGACAAACCTTGATTCTTCCATCCCACCTAACCCAGACTTACATGGTGGTCCATGTACTACTTTATCCTTCTTTGGACACTGTAAGCAAGGCCCAGGGCATGGAGATATGACTCCTTAACATACTTCTTTTTAATCCTGTAAAAATATTTAAATTTACATTGATTTACTTTTTGAATAAAGTAACTCATAAAAGATAAGCAGTTCATATACTTTGAAGCATAAGGTATGAATGTGAGTGCTGTAATATGTTTTTGCATCTACAGGTAAGGTCTGGTAGAAAAGATACTTTCACATTCACTCAGTGAATCCCTGCAACCTTCTGTGGAGTGGTAGTGTCTTCATTATATAGAAGGTTAATGTGAGGCTCAGAGCATCTAGGTAATTTGTCTAAAGTCACAGAGATAGGAAGTAGACCAGACAGGAGTTTAACCTTGTTGATTTGGGTCCAATTACAGTTTTCCTTTTTGGTTACTATACTGCTCTTCTATCCAAGGCAGTCGTTTTTTAAGTGTTTGGGGATCAAAGAGTCCTTTAATAATATGAAGAAAATTATCTCTTTCAAGAGAAGAAAAAAATGTGACATGAATAATTTGTACATATAATATCCATGTGCCAAAGGAATACTTGAAATTTGTTCATGACCTTGCAGAATTTCAAGAATTAAGAAATCTTTGTTTAGGAAATGAATGTAACTACTCAGGAATTCAGCTACTACAAATACCTTATCTCCAGGCCTCATATCCTCCAACTCTTCTTCATTGTGAACATCAGAGCCTAAATTATCCATATAATTTTCTTCAAAATGTCCATTAACACCTGTGTAGACCCATAACAGATGATCTACTCAAGAGTACTCTAGAGTAAGAAACTCAAATGATGAAAATGTTAATAAAATATGTCTCAAAATGGCTTGTTTGGCTAAGAAGCTGGGAGTATATATTATGGAGAAGTCAATATTCAGGTTACATCAGACAAGAGGGACTAATAACAGTTTCTGTGGTTCTAGAAGAAATTATACGGGAATAATTTCAACTTAAGTAATATCCAAAGATGAATTGCACTGCCTTGATAGAAAATGAATTTACCATCATGAGTCAAAGAAGATGTTTGATTGAATATGTCTTAACTGAGAAGCATCAAATCCACGTGCTTTAAGATTCCTTCCAACTATGAAGTCAACACTGTATTATTTTGTCTTGCTATATTTTTATTTCCCAAGTCACATTAGAGATACATGATATTGTCAACCTTTTCTATGGGATCTAATTTTTCCATCTACAAAATAATGACCTTTGGACCAGATATGTCCAAGTTATTTCCAATATTCAACATTACTATGAATATATTAGTGAATTAAATGTGATGAAATAAGTTCAGGGCTTGGGAAAAATCTGGAGCAGAAAAGGGAGACTGAACCTGGATGATACCTGCTAGAAAATGTCTGAATACAGATCCCAGGTTCTCCTAATGTCAGTCTGCTTTGATGCCCAAATATCTCTCACATTGGTCCTTATTTTTTTCTCTTGATAACTATGGATTCTCTCATTGTTGACACTTCCTCTGATCTGTTTTAGAATGCGCCAAACTAATACACACATCCAGAGTTCTGGGACGTGTGAGGACAGCAGCACTCCAGAAGCAACATCTGTTATTACACCCACATCTGTGAGTACACTGGCCCCCATGACTGTGACATTAGGAGCATTTTCTGCTTTTATTCTCTTGCACAAGGCAGTGGACATTTCTCTGGCCAGAGAAGTGATGCTAGGTTAAGTGACTCCAGAATTGGGCACATTTTCACTGTGAAGATAATTAATTAGTTATCAAAATATATAATGGGAGTTAACATTTTACACTGTTTACTGGGCTCATTCATAGATAGTTTATGAGGAAAGTCTCTAAGGTAAGATTACTTATTTCAGGATAGATTTTTGTTCTCTGTCATCTACAACAAAAAGATGAGACCGAGATCAAGAGAGGTGATAGTGACAAAGCTGGGTTTAAATTCATTTCTATGAAGTCCCATATGCTTGCACTTTATACTGCATTTACATTTTTTCCCAATATTTAAAGTTGACCTGTTTTATTTAAACCAAGCATATTTCAATATAAGCGTATTTCAATATACATTGTTGGGTCTGAATGTATTGAATAGTCTCTTCATCAGGCAAGATATGTAACTT